TTTCCCTTCCTTTTCCCACTTTTCCCTCCTTTTTCACTCCCCACTACTCCTTTGATCCCTCCCTTAGGAGGAGCTGACAGTTCCTCTGCCACAGCTGATCCCAAACCTTGGGCTCAAGCCTCACATACGGATTGTCCTAGAAGGTCTGTAGCACCAGGGGCATCTGTCTGGGAAAGGACAGACCCCTTCACTGGGAGGAAAAGCCACTTCTGTGCCCACAGGGCAGCTGAGGAGGCTGCAGCCCCTTCTGAGAAGCACATCAGGATGCTGGCAGGAGCTGTGGGGAAATTTCTGAGCTTTCAGTTGCAGATGAGAAAGTTCTCACAAAGTCCAGCTTAAACATCAGCATGAAGATGGCTCGAGGATTCTGGCCATGAAAGAGTTTCAAAGTCCAAATATTGTAGACATCTTGCTGAAAAAGTTTAAGGCTGTGGGCTGAAAACAGTGATGGAGCTGAACAAGGTGCTCAGAAAATCTTGGGCTCTCTGATTCACAGTATCCCAGTATCACTCTGGTTGAAAAAGACCTTCAAGATCATCAAGTCCAACCACCACCCTAACTCCACCACGTCTACCACTAAACCCTGTCCCTTGGCACCACATCTGTCTTTTTAGATGTCTCCAGGAATGGTGGCTCAACCACCTCCTTGGACATCCTGGATCACCAAGATCACCTGGATCACCAAGTCTAACTCCCACCCCAGAACAGGACAACCTCAAAGTTCACACCATGTCCCTGAGGATGTTGTCCAAATGCTTCTTGAATATTTTCAGGCCTGGTGCCATTGCTGCTTCCCTGGGGAGCTTATTGTTGCATGTCTGTTTACAGGTAATGTTACTTCTGACTTAGGGACCTTCAGCCACCAGCTCCAAGTACCACAATGTCCGGCTACAACTCTGTGGACATCCAGAAAAAGAAAAGTTCAGAGAAACAAGTGGTTTTCTTTGTCTTTTCTTGGGATGTGGACTATGAACTGGGAACAGCCGTGCTGATCCTCAGACCGTTGCCTTTCTGTGTTCCAGGTGTGTGGTGGTTAGTGATGTCCTCAGAGGGTTTACAGTGTTTCCATTGTGGATGGATGATCCCAAAGGTATTATCAAGCTCTCCAACCCCTCCACCTCTTTGTAACCTACATGTAACTTAAGCCAGTGCTCCCATTTCTATTGTGAAGTGCTTTCTCTCACTGTATTGACACATGACCTCATCAGCACTGCCCTCATGGATTATGGGGCAGTATAATTCAAAACCCTTTGTCCAAGACATCCATATGACCCAGAATTCAGCAGTATTAAACGCTGGGCTGGTGATGGTCAGGACCACCACTGCTTTGAAACAACTTTGTGCAACATCTGTCCAGAATAGTTGGAGATTGCATTGAAATACTCTCAAGAGCCCTGCAGCTGAGGCTTAAGCGAGAGTAAAATGTGCATAGCTGTGATGTAAGATGAATGAGAAAGCACTTCTAGGGAAGGGAGGTGTGTAATTGCAGAGACATGAACTGGATCTGGTTTTAATCTCACTGGACACATTGAGCACTGTCAAATGCAATTTCTAATCTCAGTCCTGCTCTGCTGCGTTGGAGTATGGCTGAAGGTGTTTTTCAAGTGTTTAGGAGCCTTTCCAAAGACAACAGGATCATCTGGATAACATCAGCCTCCAGGCTGGTTGCTGCAAATGGGACACTCTTTGAAACGCCCGCAGCGCTGATGCAAGCCCAGATGGTGCATGTTTAACCTGGGCTGTGTCCATCTCTAGCACATGCCATGAGGTTCCTGGGGCTCTCATGCCCTGGCTCGACCACACTCAGTCTGTGAGCACATTGTGGAAGAGCTGTCCCCTCTACTGAGTTCCATGGGACTTCTTCAAACTGCAGATGTGGCCAGATGTGTCACAGAGATCTCCTGCTGTGCTGAGTCTCCAGGTGCTGCCTACATCCCTCCAGGCCTCTCCAGCCCTGTGTGCAAAGACCCTGTCCAGCCCCTCCACATGGACAGCACTGAGCTGGTCTTTGCCCCTGAGCACAGCAGGGGCATCCCCAGGACAGCAGGACCATTTCAGGCCAGTCCTGGCTCAGCTCAG